ATGACAAAGTATACATCTTAGGTCTTCCAAATCATAAAAGCTTAAGCTCTCTTGGTGCTTGTATTTGTTTAGAAAGAGGAAAGGATGAATACCATGTAGCAAGCAAATTCCCATTATGTCAGAAGGAGCAACCAGAGAGTGGCCTATCATCCCCAAAATCATTGCAATCAAGGAAAAAACTCTCTGTCTGCCTCAAAGCCCAATCAATTTCTGCATCATCTGGATCATCCCTTTTTCGGCACGTAAGTTGAAGACGAGATGCCTATAAAATCAACAAACAAATTTCACACTTCAATAAATTGATTTAGGACTAAAGAAGACCGTTGTAATACAAATATAAAACTAATTACCCTCATGAATGTTATGTAGTTTAGCTCAATTCTAGGCTCGATGATTTCTTGTACAAATTTTTTGACCATTTTAATATCTCTTTCCCTACAGAACCTAGTAAGCATTACATTATAAATGTGAGCATTAGGAGATAAACCAATCTCTTTCATCTGACTATACAAGGTAGAAGATTCTCCAATCCTCACACTATTGAGAAGTCCACAAATGGCAACTGTATATGATAAAACATCTAGTGGGTATTTCTCTACTATGGCTCTTCTAAACAATCTAATGGCTTTATGACATTTTACCTGTTTTTATAAGTTTATCCATAATTACAGTATGTACATGTGAATCAAGAGTAGTATGATTCACGAAAATCCCTTGGTACACACTAACTGCTTCATCGATTCTTCTGGCTCCACATAGTCCACAAAGTAATCCAGAAAAGATGGACTTATCAGGTCTTATACCACTATCCAACACATCACTATATAACTCCACAGCATGAGATGGAAGTGATAAGAGCTTGAATGTTTATATTTTGTTAGTAATTTAATTGGTCTATTTATGGAAAAATCTGCTTAAAGTGTGGAATTTGGATTATTTCGTTCATAAATACTAGTTATGGGATCACAGGTGCATTTTGAATGTTTTCAGGTTCAAAAAGGTTTTTGAAGGGAAAAGAATGATGTTGATTGGATTTACAACGCGTAGGAACAAACGACACTAGAATCAGGGTCGAAATGAGGAAGTTGTGGCACGTCGAAGATATTACAGAAAATCTGGAAATCTGTCATCATGAGTATGCCTCGTTGTTGATGTCATAAATTGAGCTGTAGAAATCGGAATTTGACGATTCTAGTGGCGTTGGAAAGCTTATTCAGAGAGCTACAATGTTCATGTTGATAACTTGTGAAAATTCTGAAGATTATAGATGCCTTGGACATAAAGAAAGATCGCTGCGGTGACCATTCTTACCGCCGCGGTGATAGGTCACGGGTTTGTGTTAATTCACTACCCTAATCCGAATCTGAATGGGTGAAGTTTCTAATCTTTTTCCTAAGCACGACCAAGAACCCCAGGGGATATAAAAGAGAGTTTTGAAGAAATAAAAAGGGGGACTTTTAAGAGGAAGAAGACGGCTACCAAGTTGGAGATCGGGATCCGAAGAGCTCTCGTTCACCGATTAGAGAAGTTTATCTTTTTCTTTCTTAAACTGATGTTATTGAATAGAATGATGGATTGTGTTATTTTCATTATGAACTAATTCTCTTTTCTAGGGCTACAAATGTAGCCCAATTTATGAAAATGTATTGATGTTGATGTTGATTTTATATTGAGCATGAATTCTAAGTTTTATTATCGTGTGTAATGCTTTCAATTCTTAAGGGCCCGAGAGTTGAATGATATCATAGATTGGGTTGAGATCGAGAGATGAAACCTGATTTGCTTTAGGTAATAAAACCATAGATTGAACGAACGCTAGAGGTAGGTTACCGTGATCTGTGAGGCTCCAGGAAATTCCATGGAACTTAATGATCTCTTAGCTCCTAAATCCAACTTAGAGATAACTTGGGTTGTTGCTTAAGGGTTAATTTGCTAATTGCTCAAGAGAGAGTTAGTGGAATATTAGGGGATTTGGCTTTTAGAATACACTTAATTAGGTTAACAACAAATGTCAATGCATAGGATTAAATTGGTGCAAAATCTATGCCCTAGGTTTAGTCATATTGATTTTTACTTCAAGGTGTTTACAAATTCTGCCTTTATTTAGTACTTAATTTTTAGTTTATTTACTTTTTCATTAAATTCATTCTTAAACTTCAGTTTAATCAAATAGCAATAGAATATAATAGTTTGGTACTCGGTAGGTAGTTCTCTTGGGATTCGACACTCGTTTACTCGAGTTTTACTACTTGCACGATTTCGTACACTTGCGAATATCTTGTCAGGAAGCCCACCTTCAAAAAAGTAAATTAAAAGTGCATTACAAACTACTATATCTCCTTCTACCACAAGTCCATTTACTAACTTGTGTAAAAGAGAAAATCTCCTAGACAAATATACATTAGATAATAAAAAAGAAAACGTATAAGAGTCTGGAACCAATTTCCTTTTTGACAAACTATGAAACACATCAAGTGCATCATGATACCTCCCAATCTTTGATAAGCAATCTATTAATACATAGTATAAAACCACACTAATCAGGAGACCAGTTGATTGACTATCATGAAAATAATTTCGTTTTTTCGCATACCAAAGGAAAAGACTCAAAGCAATCCAATCAGAAGGGCAATATAACAAAGTTGAATATATAATGTGAGGTGTAAGAATGATTGGTTTCCTTCTATTGGGGAAATATTCATATCGGTCATAAACATTTTGGTAAATGGTGCGATTTTGTTGCACATACCTGATGGATTGATTTAAAGGATAGTGTTTTCCAAATTGTCCTTCTTTGCGCCATGTGTAACAAACTCATACTATATCTCCACAGCATATTATGCTTCACAAATTCGAAGGAAAATAGAAAGTAAGTCCTTTATTTCTTCTATCAGCTCCAATGCTCGTTTCTATTTGCTAGCTGAGAAACCTAAATAAATTCATACATATGTTTACTTCGGTTTTTTTACATATGTTCTTTGTGTTTAAAGTATTGACTTCGTAATTAGATGACATTGATTAATAATTTATTGGTATTATCTTATATTAAACAACAAAAATTTTAGTTAATTTTTATTTTTATTGAAAATTATAAAATTTCATTATCTAGCGGTTACACGCAAAACTCAAACATTGCTTATGAGAATTCTTATACATAAGCTATTTACAATTAAACCTTGATAAATTAATATCATTGTGACCATAAAAATCTATTAATTAACTGATATATTATTTAATTATATAAATTAATTATTTATTGAGGTATTTTTTATTTTCTTTTTCCAAAACATTAAACTTAATGGATATACATATTACAGTCATATTTTACAAAGGCCTAAAATCAATTTCTTTTGCAATACAAAAACACTACACCAGAGTTTCTTAATGCACTAAGAAAAGTTAGAGATGAAGTCCAAGAAGATATTAATTTCAAGACAAAACAAGTAACATTAGAGTCATGTTCATAATTTGGGATCAACCAAAAATATTATTTAATCAAGGTTATTAATTTATTTAATATTAAATTAATTTATATTTAACAATGCAAGGTTGAAAGTAAAATAATTTATTAAAGAAAGGTGAGGCTAACCATGGGCTTTTATTTACATTCAAGTATTCAACAAGTCCAAGGTTGTCTTATTAAGAAGAGAAAAAGTCATGTTCCCGCCCAGAAATAGCAAGTTTCCATTGATTTCATAAATTCAAAATTTCAGCATTAAATTAACAGAAAATCGTTTAATTTAATAGTCAAAAAGAAAATGACCTATACTGGCCCAAAATATAGCAAGAAAACATTAAAAAATTTGAACTTTTCTATCCGTTCAACAAAGGCACTGAATATTTAATTTTGCTGACTTGAACACTGAGAAGAGTCGTTCCAGCAAACATCACTGTTGGCTCTTGTTGATGTTTCTTTACTCATTTTGCAGGTTCCAACTTTAAAGGGGAGAAAATTCAACTCTCGGACCAAGCATCATCTCATGAGCACCCAAATTCGGACCTCAAGACTATTTCTTCATTGCAAAGGCAAAACGACAATTGTAACATTTTCAAAGCTTCATCCCCAGACCAACTCCAGATGGTCCTCTCTTGCAGTTTATAACTAAACCAAAACTGCGAATGTCACTATGGCAAAGAAAAGGCCTGCCTTGCCAATACTAGTCGCGACTCCATTCAATTTCACCTCCAATAGAGTTTCATCATCTGCTCCTTCACTAAGAGTTGCCATCAGTTTACCTCATTGGGTTCTCATCCCAACAGTGGCAACCATCATCTTGCATGAGCCATCTTGAATCTTAGTTCCAGATAGCTTAAAAGGATTTTCCGCATTCACCATTACTGGTTCACTCTCCCCAGCTAAACTTGATTCGTTAAGCGAGACAGAAATTCCTGAAGCAAAAAGTCCATCCGCAGGGATTTGGTCTCCAATCCTCAGATGTACAATATCACCAGGAAGTAAATCATAGATAGACAATTTCTGTCTGAATCCATTTCTTGTTGCCTGAATTATTGTTGAAGGTTGATACTTGGCTGGAAATGCAGCAGTTCAACTGATGTTCAAACATGTTTCTTTGGCGGTAAAACTGAAAGGCAATCTGCCAGGGGTCCATTTGTAATACTGCAAAGTTTTACTCATTTTGTAATGCTTGATATGTATCCCAGATTATGTGGGATGTGTTACAGAGTTGTTGTTTAGTTGGTATTAAGTCAGTAGCTTCAGATTAAATTAAGTTTTTATATGTCTGCATGTTTGGTGTAATAGTGTAAAAAATCTGCTTTATTAGTTGAAGTGTAAACTCTTTTGAACTTAAGAAAAAATAGGCACTTTTCTTCAATCGTTTTTTGCTCTCTTTCTTTTCTTAGTTATCTCCAGCACACAAACACTAACATGGTATCAGAGCTGAGTTGATTCCCAACAAAAACTGAACATTTCCTTCCCAAACAACTCATCCAGCCCACCGGAAAACTGCCTTGCACCAGACCTGTTTTTTCTTGATCAAATGACTACCCCAACAGCTTCTCTTCTACCTCCTGTGTTCAACGGTGAACACTACCATATTTGGTCAGTTAAAATGAAGGCTTACCTGAGAGGTCAAGGACTCTGGCAGTATGTAGAGGAAGACAGACAACCCCCTCAGTTGGGACCAAATCCTACCCTCAATCAAATCCGAATGCATGAAGAGGAAGCATCAAGAGCTCCAAGAGCCTTGTCCCACATCCACTCAGCTGTCACAGACCTTGTTTTTACAAGGATTATGACATGCGAAACTGCTAAGGAATCATGGGACAAGCTGAGAGAAGAATTCATGGGAAGTGATACCACAAGGAACATGCAGATTTTGAATTTGAGAAGGGAGTTCGAAACCTTGAGGATGCAAGAGGCTGAGAAGGTGAAAGAATATGTTGACAGGCTAATGAACATTGTCAACAAAATCATATTACTTGGAGTGCAGATGCCAGACAGCAGTATTGTGGAAAAGGTGATGGTGAGCCTGCCGGAAAGGTTTGAAGCTAAGATCTCATCCTTGGAGGACTCAAAGGACCTGACTCAGATCACAATGACTGAGCTAGTCCATGCTCTGCAGGCATAAGAGCAAAGAAGGCTCCTAAGGCTTGAAGATGCAAATGAAGGAGCAATGTTGGCAACCTACAAGGGCAAACCTGTGCAAGGAAATTATAAAAAATCTGCTGGAGAAAAGAGAGGAAAAGAAAGGTCCAACAACCAATGGAACAAAGCTGGTGGGATGCAAAATTTTCCAGCTTGTTCTCATTACAAAAAAAAGGGACATGTAGAGCACAAATGCTGGTTCAGACTTGGTATACAGTGTAGGGCCTGCAAACAGTTTGGGCATATTGAAAGAGTATGCAGAAACAAGGGACAGCAGTCCCAACAGCAAGCTCAAACAGCTGATGAACAACAGCCAGTGCAGGAGACAGAGCAACTGTTTATGGCCTCATCCAGCGTGATCCAAACTTGTGATGATACATGGCTGATTGACAATGGGTGCACACATCACATGACACCTGATTTGAGTAGCTTTGTAAACATAGATTACTCTCATCGGTCAAAGATCAAGGTTGGGAATGGTGAATGTGTGGAAGCAAGAGGCAAAGGAGATGTTGCAATCCAAACTCCAAAAGGTACAAAGTTAATTTCAAATGTACTTTATGCACCAAATATAAGTCAAAGTCTTTTGAGTGTGGGACAAATGCTGGAAAGGAACTATGCACTGCATTTTCAAAACCAATCCTGCATTATCCATACAGTGAGGGTAATGAGATTTTGAGAGTGAAAATGGTAGGGAAAAGCTTTCCAATAATGTGGAAAGTTGCTCCACACACAGCATGCAATGCTAGGGAGGATGAAACTGAAATGTGGCACAAAAGATTAGGCCATGTACATTACAGAAATTTGACTGAAATGCAGTCCAAAAACTTAGTCCAGAATCTGCCGATTGTTGAGCAGCCGAGAGGTGTGTGCAAAGTGTGTCAACTAGGCAAAATGAGTAGGAAACCATTCCCAGTGAACCAAGCTTGGAGAGCCTCTGAAAAACTCCAGCTTGTTCACTCGGATGTATGTGGCCCTATGCAAACTTTATCACTTAATGGGAGCAAATATTTTGTGTTGTTCATAGATGATTGGTCTAGGATGGGGTGGATTTACTTCCTAAAACAGAAAAGTAAGGTGGCTGGAACATTCAGGAAATTCAAACTTGAAGTAGAGAATTTGACTGAAAAATCAATCAAGACCTTGAGAAGTTATAATGGCACTGAATACACTTCTCAAGAGTTTGAAAAAATCTGCACTGAAGCTGGAATAAGGCACGAATACAGCAACCCATACACTCTACAATAGAATGGAGTTTGTGAGAGGAAAAACAGGACAATCATGGAAATGGCAAGGTGCTTAATGGCTGAGAAAAATCTTCCCAAACCATTTTGGGTAGAAGCAGCAAACACAAGTGTCTACCTACTTAATAGTATTCCCACCAAAGCCTTAAAAAACCAAACACCTTTTGAAGCCTGGACTGGAACCAAACCAACAGTGGGTGAACTGAAAATTTTTGGGAGTCTTTGCTATGTCCTAGTGCCACCTGCTAAGAGGACTAAGCTGGAGGATAAGGCTGTGACAGGAATTTTTATTGGCTACAGCAGCCAATCCAAGGCCTACAGACTTTACATTCCTGACTCCAGAAAAGTTGTAGTGTCCAGGGATGTTAAGGTTGATGAAAGAGGAGTCTGGAACTGGGAAAAGGGTAGAGCTGATGTAGATGCTCAACCTCAACTTAGTGAGGTTCAACCTGAACAAATTGAAGAAGACTCAGGGGAGGAATCAGAAGAAGAAGTTGCTGTCAGGGGAACCAGAACACTTGCTGATGTGTATGACAGGTGTAACCTAGCTCAAATGGAACCTACAAGTTACTTAGAGGCTGCATAATCAGAATCCTGGAGGAGTGCCATGAAGGAGGAGTTGGCCATGATTGAAAAAAACCAAACCTGGAAGCTGGTGGATAGACCAGAAAACAGAAAAGTTATCCAAGTGAAGTGGATTTTCAGAACAAAAAACTGAATCCAGATGGGTAAGTTCTGAAGCATAAGGCCATGCTTGTGGTTAAGGGATTTGCTCAGCAATATGGAGTGGATTTCCTGGAGACATTTGCTCCTGTTGCACGGCATGACACTATTAGGCTGCTGCTTGCAGTGGCTGCCCAATTCTCCTGGAAAGTTCACCAATTGGATGTAAAATCTGCCTTCTTGAATGGCTGGTTGAATGAGGAGATNATGTGTATGACAGGTGCAACCTAGCTCAAATGGAACCTTCAAGTTACTTAGAGGCTGCACAATCAGAATCCTGGAGGAGTGCCATGAAGGAGGAGTTAGCCATGATTGAAAAAAACCAAACCTGGAAGCTGGTGGATAGACCAGAAAACAGAAAAGTTATCCAAGTGAAGTGGATTTTCAAAAAAAAGCTGAATCCAGATGGGTCAGTTCTGAAGCATAAGGCCAGACTTGTGGTTAAGGGATTTGCACAGCAATATGGAGTGGACTTCCTGGAGACATTTTCTCCTGTTGCACGGCATGACACCATTAGGCTGCTGCTTGCAGTGGCTGCCCAATTCTCTTGGAAAGTTCACCAATTGGATGTAAAATCTGCCTTCTTGAATGGCTGGTTGAATGAAGAGATCTACATTGAACAACCTGAAGGATATGTGATCCAAGGACAAGAAGGAAAGGTGTACATGTTGAGGAAGGCCTTATATGGCCTAAAACAGGCTCCAAGGGCCTGGTACAGCAGGATTAATGACCACCTGCTGAATCTGGATTTTGTTAGGAGTCCAAATGAATACACCCTTTACATTAGAGAAGCTGAAGATGACTTGATTATTATTTCTCTATATGTGGATGATCTTCTAGTTATTGGAAGCAATCAAACTCAAGTGGATGAATTCAAGAAATCCATGCAAAGTGAGTTTGAAATGACTGATTTGGGTGGAATGTCCTATTTCCTTGGAATGGAGATTGATCAACATGTTGATGGGATCTTTGCGAATCAAAGAAGATATGCAAGTGAAGTGCTAAAGAAATTCTGTATGGAAAACTGCAAACCAGTAAATCTGCCATTAGTACCAAATTTGAAGTTGTCAAAGGATGAAGATGGTGAGAAAGTTGATGAAGGTCTGTATAGGAGTTTAATAGGGTGTTTGCTTTATTTGACAGTAATTAGACCAGATTTAATGTATGCAACTAGTCTGCTGTCCAGATTCATGAGTAATCCAACTGAAACTCACTTCCAACAGCAAAAAGGGTGCTGAGGTATGTCAGAGGAAGCACTGACTATGGAGTATGGTTCAAGAGATCAGAGGACTTTGGTTTNAAGCAATCTTGTTCAGTTGGAAGAGTTCAAAAGAGCAATGAAGATGGAATTTGACATGACTGATTTGGGTGAAATGAGCTACTTTCTTCGCATGGAAATATACCTAAGTTTAAAGGGTATATTTGTGTGTCAAAAGAAGTATGCAAATGAGGTGCTAATTAAGTTCAATATGGACAATTGTAAATCAGTTGATATCCCTCTGATTCCTAGCCAGAAGCTGAGCAAGGAAGATGGTGCCAAATGGGTGGATGAAGGTGTCTATAGAAGCTTGATAGGATGCTTGTTGTACTTGACAGCAACCAAGCCTGATTTGATGTACACCACCAGCCTCCTGTCTATATTCATGAGCAAGCCAAGTGAGATGCATTATAAGGCTGCAAAGAAGGTGCTACGGTACATTAAGGGGTCTACTGAGTTAGGAATCTGGTTCAGAAGGGCAGAAAAATTCAGTTTAATAGGCTATTCATATAGTGACTGGGCAGGCTCAGTTGATGATATGAGAAGCACTTCTGGATATGTTTTCTTTGTTAACCATGGTGTCTTCAGTTGGCTCTCCAAAAAACAGGAGACAGTAGCCCAATCTACTGCTGAGGCAGAATACATTTCTGCTGCAGCTGCTACAAACCAGGCAATCTGGTTGAGAAAAATTCTGACAGACTTGAGGCTGAATCAAGATNTTGAAGTGTAAACTCTTTTGAACTTAAGAAAAAATAGGCACTTTTCTTCAATCGTTTTTTGCTCTCTTTCTTTTCTTAGTTATCTCCAGCACACAAACACTAACACATTCTATAACAAATAACTCTTCCAAAGATGGGAATTTCAAAGTATAATTCCCAGAGCAAAAACTTGTAAGACTTTCTAAATCAAAAAGTGTTAAGCTCTTCAATCTGCAAAAGCTAATCTGGGGCTCTGTTACATTGCCCTCATTTGCTACTACTTCTGTCATCATTTCACATCCACCAATCTTCAATTCTTTGAGTTGCAGCAGGGTTTTGGCTGTTGAGGATGCTACTAAGTTCTTCAATCTTTTGCAAAACCACACTTCCAGAAATGTTAGATTGTGGAAAGATGCAGAGGATGGCACTAAATTAATCAAATTGCTGCACCACCACACATCAAGACTTTCAAGGTTTTGAAGAATTGTGCCCAGTTTTGATTATTGTTTCCACATGTACTTTAGATTAGACAGATCAAACAACTTCAAAACTTTAATCTGTGTCAACATCCTGGCATGTCTTTCCATCTCTTCATGTGAGAATATCTCTTTGCATGAACCATGACTTAGAATGAGCTTTTCCAGATTGTGAAATCTTTGAAAGGAATGAAGCGAAAAAACATCTGAATCATCTTTCACAATGTGAAGAACTTCAAGTCTGCGAAAGAGGCTTTCTGGAAATGCGCCTTGCCATATAATTTCAACGACTTTCTTGCCTAATTTCAGTACCTCCAAATTAGGGAAGACCTAGGTACCAATAAACAGGAGTAAATTGAAGTTAATCTTCATCTTGAAAATTCTATAATTTAGGCAGTATCAAAAAATGATTTCAAGCTGTCATAATTAGACAGATGAATGTATAACATTCTATAAGACTATAAAAAAATGTGAAACTCAATATACTTGACTTAATGAAAATGTTTAATAGTTTTAGCTGATTTAACTTTGGCAATTAAAAGATAAATCATTTTATTAAAAGAAATGGAATTTTTAACCTTATATCTGTATACAGTTTTAAAGGACCAAAAGAGAAAAATAAGTGTCTCATACCTTTTCCACCAAGAAGAGGGCCTGTTCCGCTAGTACATTAAGTTGATACTCTTCAGTTTCCTGGTGGCTAACAAGTTTTGATGTGAATATCTTCACATTGTCGCAATCACATACCTCCAACTTTTTTAAAACCAGCCATTCTGAAGTATGTGTTTCAGGATAGAAGCATCTAAGTCGTTGAAGCAATGACAATTTGAGGAAGGGTACATGTGGAAAGACAAACATAACAGCTGCGTTGGCTCTGTCTTCCTTTGAAACAATCTCCTCCACTCCACAATTTACCATCTCAAGCTCTTTAAGTTCAAAAAGGTTCCTAGCAATGGAGGCTGGAAATAGATTTTCTAGATTCTTACATCCAGAAATTCTCACTATCTGTAGCTTTGGAAAGGACAACATTACTTGGGGTTCCTTTTTCCATACATGTGTCACTTTTGGTAGACCATGGATACACAATTCTTTCAACTGAGCTTTAGAATGTTTTTACCCAAAATTTAGCCTCTGGAGATCAAATATCTCCATTAATGAACCACAAGCAGTAACAGTTAGTGATTCCAATTGCCAGAACCTTTCACACATATTGGAAGGAAAAATAGTCAATAGCTTATCACAGTTCTTGATTTCCATTAATTTTAGTTTTTGAAGAGATTGCTCAGGGAGTTGTTTGTTCCATATCATCTTCAGGTTATCCATGCTAGATATTACCATTTCTTCTAAGCTTGGTAATTCAACCTGTAGGATTCATGCCATTAACTGTAAGATTATTTCTAATTCTTTTTAGAAGTAACTAAAAAACTTTTATCTGGATAAATTAAGATGTAGAAGATGATAAGACTAGTACAATGAGAAGTTAAGATGGCAGAAACAATATAAACAGTTAAATGTATTGTACCTTTTCATTGAAGAAAGGTTGAATATCCTCTGAGTCAGTGCTTATGTTTGTTAAGATGACTGCCTTGAATTGAGAGCATTGTTCTATTTCCAACTGTTTCAAGGATGGAAATTCAATGTAATTTCCTAAGAAAAATCTTGTAAGATTTTCAAGATCTTTTATTACCATGCATTCCAAACGAGGGAAGACTTTGCCCTTGCTTTCTTCTTCCATGATAATGACCTCTTTCAAAACTGCACAAAGGCATATCTCAAGGTGTTGGAGGTTCACCAAGATTTTGAACGGAGGAAAGCATATGTGATGGAAATCGATCGCACCAAATCTTTGGAATATTATTTTCAGCCAGTTCCAAGACCTCCAACCTGGGAAACCTCACCTGCATAAAGCTGTGTTTCAATATTCCTTCGTATCGATCAAAAAAATAATAACTTTTTATGGTTAACTTAAGAATAAAGAAAAGCGAATGAAAAAAATAAAAAAAGTGGTTATGGTTAACTTACTCTTCCACTGAATAGCTCACCCTCAAAATGGAACAACATTAAATTGAACGGGCACCTGTGGAAGAGATTTCAACGCCAAGGAGCGTATATCCAACACTTCAAGGCGGTAGCTGTCCGCTTCAGCAGCAAATATCTCTTTCATACTCTTGCATTATTCTGAATGTGAAGATGCTTCAATTGTGGAAAACCCTCTTCATCTAATTGATAAAGATCATTATTGACACCCTGTAATTCCGCTAAACATAGTTCTTCAATTCTTTTCAATTGCCTGATAATCCCACACTCCAGGATGCTAGTATTGAGTTTCAATGTTCTTGAAGTCTCATACTCAGCTAACCACTCCCACTCATCACCTATGAATATTTTATATCTTCTCAAGTTGTTCTTAGAAAAAAGATCTCTGGGTAGAATCCTGACATCTTTAATGTGTATTTCTAAAGATGTCAATTTAGACAAATGCTTCAACCCATTAAGACTAGCATTTTTTCCTTCAAAGTTCAGCCCTTCAACTTCCCATTGAACAAAGCTATTACCCATAGACAATTCTTCTAAACAAGATAAACTTGATATGACATTTGGTGAAATGACTTTTAGTTTGCAACAATTACTCACATCTAAAATCCTTAGCTGAGTCAATTGACCTATGTCTTTAGGCAACAACTTAATATCAGAATGGGATAATCTAAGGCTTTTTAGGTTCTTTAAGTCTCCAATACCAGTTATGTTTCCCAACATGCATTGATCTAAACACAATGTTTGAAGGTTTACTAACAGATAAAGAGATGAAGGCAGTGACAGGAAGTGCATTTTGGTCAAATTTAGAACACTAAGATTTGTCATTCCTGTGAAAAAATTGTCTGGAACTTTCATAAAAGGACTCCCAGCAAGCATAATGAAAAAATTGAGTTGTGGACATTTCAAACCTTCAGGAAGCTCTCTAATATTACCATCATGTATGAAGATTGCTTTGCAACTCCCAAGTGCATCCTTACCTAGCCAATCGGTAGCCTCGTTCGTCAATGCATATTGATCTCTCGATGCAATTGATATGGCAACAAGACGAACAACATCATGAATAGTAAACCAATCACTGGAATGACCATAAAGCAACAAACAAGAGCTTTCAAGTTCATGGACCAATAAACGTACTTTATTCTGTGCCTTTTCCGGACTTATGTCTTCAAATAAACCCAAACTTATTCCATATTTGAACAACTCCATAATGGAAACATCACCAGAATATTTCATAAGACTACAAAGCAAAAAAGTTGCCTTGAGTTCCTCACTTTTTAAATCATCATAACTCAACTTTATACTAGAATAAACCTCTGCAAGACTTCCGGTGAAGTTGCTCACGGAAGGCCTTCCCAATTCTCGCAATGCATTCCGCCATTTAAATACACCCTTGTCTCTTAATGCCATTGCAATTGAAGCAATGGCAATAGGCAAGCCTCCACATGCTTTAGTTATGTCAATTGCTAAGGACTGCAACTTTTTTCAGCAGAATCACCTGCCATTTTCTTAAATAGTCTAAAAGCTTCTTCTTGATTTAGAACACCAAGCTTGAAATTTTGATTAGAACCCATCTCATCCAATACATTTCTATTTCTTGACACTAGCAACAGTTTGCGTTTCCGATGATCATCTCCAGCAGGAATTCCGACTCTCCTCAAATCAAGAGCTGTCCAGATATTATCTATTATTACAAGTATATTGTTCTCTCTCTCCAGTCGATAATATAGCATTAGTGCTCTACCAACTACATCCTCGTCACGGAACATTAGACCTAGCTGATCCGCAATGTCTCCTTGAATCCTTTTTATGTCTGGAGTTCGGCTTATCTCTACAAAAAGCACAAAATCGAAGGTCTTATCTGTCCCGGCTTGAGCAGCAACTTGTTTAGCTAGCACAGTCTTGCCAATGCCAGCCATTCCGTACACCCCAATCTTTTTGACATCAGGATTCTTTAATGCCTTGTATAGACCCTCAAAAGTGTCCATTCTTGATCCAAAGGTTTCGTAAACTTTGGTAAAAGTACGCCATATGTCGGGTGGAATGATAGTGTATGAAACTTTATCGAATACTCCTTCTTCTCGGAGTTTAACAACAGCCTTCAGCTGCCTCACTGCTTTATTGCCAAGATGATAACGGGTTATCAGATCGGGACACAACAAGCATCGGGTATTTGCTTTCTGGCCAAAGATTTCAAAAGTTCTTCTTGTATCATCAACAGCCTCCTCAACATTAATCACCCACTTCAAAACATCCTCATAAATCGTTTCCCCATTTCTTATAGCAACATCCATCATATGCTGCACACGCTGTTTGGCATCCATCAGCTTCTCAACTTCAGTCCGAAGATTCACATGGCAGCTCTTATAGTTTCGCAAGGAAAAAAATAGAGTTTGGCTAGAAGTAATCAAGCTGGAAATTTCGTCTGGAACAGGATGGGAGACGATTTCAAAGAAGCTTTCTCCTTGAGACAATAGTAAATCTATAGTTTTCACATTCCTCGCCGCTTTCTTACTAAGCTGATAGCGCGTCCAGTTATTGGTTTTCCATATATCTTTCATTATCTCATCTGCCTCACTGAGAAGGTTTTCCACGCTATTTAGCCACTCCCTAACGTCATTTTGTATCTCTACCATATTTATTTCAGCAACATCAATCTTATACCACACACGCTGTCTGACAAGGGTCAGTTTCTCAACTTGTGCCCTGAGATTCTCAAAGCTGGCCTTGTAGCTGTGCAAATAGCTAAACTTATCTCCGATCAAATCAGTGCAGGATTGGAGAGCCGAAGAACAAACGGATTTCACCATTTTTCAACCACTTCTCCTGTCCCGAAAATTAACAGAGACCAAACAATAAGCAACTACACTAGAATTGCGAAATAAGAAATCATTTATATGTCGATAATCATAGTTGATTAAACTGAAAATAAGCAAGGATGATCAATTAGTGCACTGGCTGCTGCTTAGAATTCTTTTGAATTTATAAATCCCTCCTAAGGTTTCTAAAAGAGTGGAGAAAATAACAATCCCTTCCCTGAGGTTTGGCTTATGGGTATCTTTAGTCCTGTAGAATTTTTTACTAACATTTTGGTCCCTGTCAGTGTCAGGCTGTCAGCAACATTTTGGTCCCTATTATTAGTAAACCTCTCTACTTGTAACTTATAAGTCTTTTAACCTGTCTCTACTTGAGGGGCTTCAAATCTTCAATTAAAGACCAGAGACTTCACATCGAACCGAAGTGTCGTGATTAGCTGAAAATTAGTGATCAGAATTGGTAAAATAATAGAAAGCTATTTCACATACCCTTGACATTTTCCTTCAATACATGAAGATCCTAAAGCTTCATAAAAATATATTTAAATAGGGAATGACAAAAATTCAGTTGAGATCAACGAGCTCCCTTATTTGTTTTACTACGGTTAAAGAAGGTGATGGGATCATGGGAAAAATGATGTTTCGAAAACGGATTTATTTCTTCACCTCCTATATGAGATTGCATAATATGAAACGTATCCTCTGTGTTAAGAAGGAAAGGTCAATGGCATTCATTGACAAATATATTATATTAACTGTATATTTATTTAATTGTCTTTCATACTTAGACTACCTAGAATAGATTAGCATGATTGTAGGACACATTTGTTTTGTTGTCTTTTATATTTAGACTACCTAGAATAGACTAGCATGATTGTAGGAAAACTTTTGTATAAAGCTACGCCTCCTTATTCAATAAAATTCAATTCAAAAGGCATATATTTTTCTCATCTTTTCATGGTATCAGAGCAGGGCACGATACCCTAGCTCTGCGCATTTGTCTTCTTTCTTTTGCCTTCTTTTTATCACTGTTTCTCTACATCTGCTCCCTTTCTTTTGCTTCCTTTTATCGCTGTTTCTCTTTATCATGACTGAACAACAACCTTCGAATGGAGGCAAGCTTGATGTGCCAATCCATATTTCTTCACCATTCGGATCATCCAGGAATGGTGTTGTTTCCAAGCCTCTCAATGAGGATAATTATTCGATATGGTGTAGAGCCATGACAATTCTTTGAACGCAAATCTAAGTGGGTTCATAGAGGGACCACCACAATGCCATCTGCCACATCCAAACCAGACGACTATGCTTTGTGAAAAAATGCAATGATATGATCCTCTCTTGGATTCTCAACTCACTCACACAGGACCTTGCAGATAGTGTCATTTTTTCTACCACTACCCAGGAGATATGGGAAGACCTTCGGATTGTTTTTCTCAAAGCAATCCCCTCGTATTTTTCAGATTGAGAGGGATTGCTTGTCTTGCTCAAGTCAGATGACTGTTGCAGCTTATTACACAAGACTAAAAAAATTATGGGATGAACTGGGATCCTAAATGACACTGTTTGCTCTTGTTTGTGGGGCAGACCATAAGAGACGCAGATTGATGCAATTTCTCATGGGACTCAATGAGTCCTATAGTGCAATCCGAGGGCAAATTTTGTGATGAATCCACTACTGATGCTGCAAGGCTTATTTCCATTGTACAGGAGGACAAGCAGCGAAGCTGGGGGCTGCACGTGAGACAGCAGAGAAACTCAGCCATTGTTGTTCGAAGGGCTGAACCAGTGGCTCTGGCTGTTCGACATGGACAAGGTTCTTCTTCTCGTTCCAACTCATCTAATCGAAAACCTCTGCATTGCTCTTATTGTGATGTGACCATCATGTATGAGAAACATGTTGGAAGCTGAATGGGTACCCACCAGAACACCCTAAAAACGCATCAAACAGGTCTAATCAAGGACACACTCATTTCAAGCGCAACCATAGCCATCAATCCTCAGTCAACAATGTCAAAGAAAGTCCAATAATGCAAGAAGTGCCATCAGTGACAAATGGGCTCTCTGATTTGCAAATCCAGCAAATCTTATCTATCATGCAAGGTAAAGGAACAACACAATCTGCCAATCCTAAAGCTAATGCTGCTTCCTCAGGTTTGTTACAAAAATTGTTACACCTCCATCAATTAATTATCGACAGTGGGCCACAGATCACATTACTTCATCTCCAACTTTGCTTGTCAACGGCAGTAAGAATACCTTTTTGCCACCAGTTGCTATGCCAAGTGGAGAACAAGCTCCGATTACATCCATTGGGAATTTACCTTTGAATTTGTTGTTACTTTAAAAAATGTGCTTTGTGTGCCATCTTTTAAGGTGGATTTAATGTCTGTGAGTCGAGTTACCAAAGATCTAAATGTTCAGTAACTTTTTTCCCTCATTGGTGTATTTTGAGGACTTTACGACGAGGACGACGATTGGTTTGGGTGAACAACGAGCGGACTTTATTACTTGGTTGCGTTGCATCAGAGAAGTCAAAACCTCAAACTCCATTGCAACAGCCACTTCTTTCCGTTCACCCAGTTCTCAGGTCACCTCCACCTCTTTATGGCATCGCCGATTGGGGCATTTGTCTTCCTCTAGATTAGATTTTATGGCAAAACATTGTTTAAATTTCCCTTTTTAGTCTAATAATGCTTGTGATGTTTTGCACTTGCAAAACAAAGTCGACTTCCGTTCTCTGTTAGTTCAATTTCGTCTGTTAGACCTTTTGAATTAATTCATTGTGACATTTGGGGTCCCTATAAATTGCCTCTCTTTCTAGTGCAAAATATTTTTGACTATTGTGGATGATTATTCTAGATTCACATGGGTATTTTTTATGCATCACAAAAGTGAAACACAAATTTACTTATCAATTTTTTCTCATTTGTCCAAACAATTCCATGTTTCTATAGCCAACATTCGGTTGATAATGGTGGAGAATTCTACTCTATGAGGGATTTTTTTAAACAAAAAGGGACCACTTACCAACATTCTTGTGTCTATACTCCTCAACAAAATGGGGTGTAGAGCGCAAGCATCGCCATATACTTGAGTCTGCTAGGGCTTTTCGTTTTCAAGCCCACCTTCCTTACATTTTTGGGCAGAATGTGTTTCTACTGCTTGTTCATATAATCAATCGTTTGCCCACACCACTTCTTTCTCGCCAAACACCTTTTGAACGACTTTATGGTAGACTTCCTTCTTATTCACTATTCGAGTTTTTGGGTGCCTTGCCTATGCTACTAAGTGCACGTTCCCTAAATTTGCTCCTTGAGCCAAACGATGTATTTTTCTTGGCTATCCAATCGGTCAGAAAGCTTACAAGCTATGACCTTGCCACCCACAAAATATTCACTAGCCGTGATGTTGTTTTCAAGAAACTATTTTCTTTATGAGTCCATTCATCCACTTCCTCAAATTCAGCCCCAGTGATTCCTTTTTCTGTACCTGATTCTTCCCCCCAGTCCAACAACCCTCACCATTGGAGCCAATTTCTCTTGCCCAACAACCCTCACCGCCAAATGCAGCTGCTAGTCCTCCTCCCGAACC